AGTATTAAATTGAACTGAAATAGAGAAGCAGGAGATAAAAATATGTAGAGTGCTGTGACCTTTATAGTCCATCAGGTTTCATTGGAAAGATTATTATTAATGGCACAAAAAATGTGTTTGTTTTCCAGTTTTGTTCCTTTTCCAGCTGTTAATTATTTTGCTCATGATTCTGGTTGATGGAATGACAGGCAGCTAATGTGTGTCTGAAGGCCACTACACATTCAGCACAACAAAAAGCAAACCACAATCATAGCCAGCCACACCAAAATAATCACTGTCGAGATAAATTCACATAAACAGCACTCAGGCACTTTTTAAACAACCCTATCAGGTTAATTAAAAAACGTAAACATATCTGCTGAGCAGTTTGCGCACACACACACACACACACACACACACACACGGTCTGTAGTAGCAGCTTCTTGCCACCAGGTGCCTCCCTCTTCCCAAACACAATTCCCTTTGATACATGAACATTATCATACTAAGTGATTTCAGGTCACTAAAATAGTATTTTTACCCGTCTTCAGTCAACCTGACCTTGAAACTAAAAACAAAGTGTCCACCACCCTCCTGCTTTCAGCTTTATTTAAGTAAAATCACACTAGTGCTCCAATCTGTCTATAACAAGCTCCGAGCTCAGGGGAGCACCCTGGCCATTAAAGCTAATGTCCTGGAGTCTAGCCAGTCTCAGTGCCTCTTTGATTATTACAGGACAAGATGCAGTTGGGAGGAGGCCAAAATGCTTAAAACTCATTTATTCTAGTTTACTTGAAGAAACAGCTGAGAGTGCAGTGCCTTATTACAAAAAGTGATTGTTCAAAAGTAGAGAGCGGGCATCAGCGGTGCTTACCTTACAGACATATCAGCTTTGTACTTCTTGCCATTGACAATGCCCAGGAGGGTGGGAGTCTGGTTGTCTTTGAAATTCAGAGTCACATCATACACAGCAGTCACTGGTGAGAGAAAGAAGAGCAGGCTGTAAGCAAAATACAAAATAAAAGAAATGCTCTGAATATTGTTTTTGTGCGACTTGTGCGTGAATGCCACCTGTGCCCTTAAGACACTGCAGTGTGGTGGTGAATCCTTTGGTTCGGGGTAATAGGTGATATTTGAGTATGGGCAGGCCTTTACTTTCTGCAACCTGCATACTGATTTGGTGCTTTTTCTCTGTAAAGCGGGTGCCCTCGCAGTACAGCAGAAACTGTAGAGAGAAAGGAGGAAGAGTTGTGTTAACACACACACACACACACTTAACAAAATGAAAAAAAAAAATCTCCAGCTTAAGGTGACCTCTTTTATCCTGACCCATCCACTACCCTACTTCTGTTAGCTGAAGTACAAATCAAGGTCAACTCAATTTAACAGTACGCTAAAATACAGTCAACTCAGGATACCCGTTTGTGCCATCAACTTGTTGTGTCAGTCTGGGTTTTCTGAATCTGTCCATTAAAAACGTGCAGTTTTTGGCACAAGATAATCATCATAGCTAACAGCAAACTATAATCTTGAAGGTGCAGCTATGTTACTGCAGCCAGTATTACAGTAGATGCAGTTGAAAACATTAGATCTTTACAAGTTTATAGACTTGTCAATAGCATTCCTCCTTAATGAATGCAGGCGCAGATCTGACTGGAATTACTACATTGTGTAAGACAATTTTCTTTCAGCTGCAACCCTGACAGTGTTAAACAGTGTAAAGAGCCAGGTAAAAAACAAAGATAATTAATACTTATTGGCTGATTTGCAAATCTTATTTCACATCACCAAGCTGTAGCTATACAAAGCCATATCGAACAGCCAAAGTAATTTGAAGATGAAACAAGGAAGGCATTTGTTTCCTCAACTGTATCACTAATTCGTGGCCGTTAGGGAAGCCACAGAGTGGCTCTGCACAAGCAGGACCTTCTGCATTTACCAAAACCCAAACCATGGAAATACAGAAGAAAAAAACAAAAACAAAAACAAAAAAAACGTGGAATTCCTTGCTAAACCCAAATCCTGCTTTTTACTCTAGGCCTAAGCTGTCAGGGTAAAACATGATGGATGTAGAGAAAATGTACATTTTATTTATTTATTTTAAAGACAAAAGAGGCATTTGTGGTCTGAAGCATAATAAATGTCTATTCAGTCTGTTCACGCACAGTGGATACTTGTGTTCATGATGTCTGACAGAAAAAAAACAAACATACAAACTCATGTTGAGGCCCTTCAAATAACGCTGCTGTACTCAGAACTACTCGTGTATCACTGCCAAGATAGATTCAGTAGAAAGAGAAACTGGCGCAAAGGGCAGAAACTACAGCATCAGATAGATTATAGATCATTCTCTTTAAAAGTCTAAAAATATTTTGTTATGTATGTTCCATCTTATCTTAGTTTGGCTGTGCAGTGATTACTCAATTTGCAGGTGACAGTTGATGCTACGACTAGTTTAACTTAAAAGAATTTACAACCTTGTCTGAACTGTTAGAATCACAACACCCATGTATCTTGAAATCAGCAACAATCCACTGCAACTCGAAGAGGATATTTCACAATCTTGATTGAGCAACTGGGTTGCAATTGAGACAAGTATTTGTCTGTAAGATGAACTGTTACACCTAAACCACAGTCCAGGCGACGGACAAACTGTGACTGTACCTACCCACATATATTCAGGATAGTCTTTGAGTCTGTCTAGGCCTTTGAAGACAGTGTTTCGGTCCTCTTCCCACTTTCTTTTGCAGAAAACAATTTCCAGAAAGTACCACGTCCAGCCAATTAGAGGGACCTTCAGGAGCTCATGTTTGGCTAGCACTTTTGAACTCTAAAGAAGGAGGAAAGACATTTTTATACAACTCTGACTTCTCTCTTAAGACAAAAGCAAATAATGTTGATAAATGTTAATCACTGTGCATCACTGTGTGGTGCTCAACTGACCCCTAAAACGCCATATCTTTCACACATGGTCCATCCACACAGAAAGTCAATCTCAAAGTTGTGGTTGAGGATGATGATGACATGCTCCTTGCCAAACTTGTCCACCGTAGCCTGATCGGTGTATAGGGTGCATTCTGTGCCCGACCACCACTCCAGCAGCATCACCAGCTCTGCACAGTGACGATGACGCAGCAGGAACATTAGAAAGTTAGAGGAGAAAATTCATCACTTGGAGCATTTTCAGTGTAAACAACACAATGTACTAAATGGAAGTATATTTGTGTTACATTATATTTATATTAATCCCTCAAAACAGTCTCTACCAACCCTGCAGACAATTATCAGCAAATCTTTGCGTGTTTAGGATTCGTGTAATTTTAGATAATTACTCTGGAGCAAATTTAATGTCTGTCATAGGGTTAATAAAAGCAGCTGAAGTCATTAACAGCACAAAGCTGACTTTAGTAAGCAGCTGACAGACAATTTTAATGAGTAACTGGTGAAAATTGTAGAGGCTGTAGCTGCTAAGGACTCATTTAATTTAGCTAAAAGGAGACTGAATATAAAGCCCTTCTACACAGAAAGTGTTTCAAACATTCAAGTGGAAAATGCAGCTGAAACCCTTTCTATGTAGACACAGCATAATATCCAACAGATGGCCCAAACACAGCTCATTGTATGTGACACTATTGCCAGATTTGTAATTATTTGCAATCTGTGAATTTCAGAATCAACACTTGACACCTTTTCTTGTTTACATATTTAAAAGACAATTAGCATTTCTACATAAACCTGCAGCAACACACGAGAATCATCTATACTCACGGCTCCAGAGGGAGTAGGAGAGCCGGCAGTTGATTCTGCGATAGAGCTGCCTGTTGATCGGCCAGAGGATGCAGGTGCACAGCTGAATGAAGTTTATAATGAGGCCGCTCACCACAAACACAAAGCCCATCAGCAACTGCAAGATGAACAGGCTCTTCAGGTAGGCCAGCAGAGCCATGGCTGAGGAGCCTGGAGGGCTGAGTGGGCTCCTCTCTATACACTACGACCAACCTGAAGAGGGAGCAGAAAAAGAAGGTGAGCACAGTGAGTGCAAAAGGAAAAAAAGACATGCAGGGTACTAAATAAGGAACAGATCAGTGTAAACACAAGGTTATCAGGTGTTTGTGTCAGGTGATCCTCAGGCAAACATGCTTTAAGATGTTCAAAAGGGCAATAATGACTCTTACCACGGTGGAGTCCTTTTACAAGCCCCGTTTACACGGCCCTTCTGCCAGCACCACAGACCTGTGAACAACAGCAGAGGATAGGCTCAGGCAACAGTGATGGGAGTCGGGCTAGACTGCAGAGCCATTACAGCAGAATTTAATAAATGTATAGTGCCCGTTTCAAACAGGATGAATTATTTTAGCTAATAACATAAGGCGGCCAGAGACAGATATTGTTCTTCAGTGTGGGTGAAAGCCGAATCAAAAGGGGAAGGCTATGAAACCTGGCTGACCAAGGTTTCATAGCCCTTACAGCCAAATTTTGACACTGGATGTAGCTTCAAAATATTGCATCTACGTGAATGTATGTATCACAGAGCTTGTGCAGTATGCCAATATGCATGTGAACCACTTTAGTAAAGTAACGTGTCACTATTCACATAATTGATGTCAAAGATAAGCTGATATCATCATCATGGATGAATTTTCAGCAACAGTCCCATGAGTACAAAGCTGCATAGCCCTCAAATTTCAAAATTTTAGACAGGAACCTTAAATGCAAAACAAATATTTCAACAGAGAACATCTTAAAAAATGTTTTAACCAAATAAAACTGAACTGACAGCTTCAAATCTCTTCTTCTATGGTGAATCAAATAAAAATGATAAAGTAGTCAGCGTTTTGAAGACATCATCAACCTTGAACATAATTTAAGTTTAGGAGCCAGAAGCCCACACAGAGGCCCGGGTTACTGAGTCCTGTCTGGGCTTGTGATTTTCTTGTAGCTTCTCCATTTTCCTCCAGTAGATGAAGTGGGAACATCTGATTGCCCTGAGGTTAGGGCACGATAGTTAGCTCTGAGCTGCTGTATGCAAGTCTTTATGAATACACATAACCAGTTGATGAAAATGAATTGAACTCAGTATTATTCACAGAAGATGTAAATACATTAATCTGTGTGCTACCAGATGTTGTTCTCTTACATAGCGCTTTTCTACTCTGAGCACTTAAAGCGCTTTACACAACTTGCCTCATTTACCTAGTCACACAAGCACTTTTGTGCTTTCTAACATTCACACAGTCACACTCACATATTTGGCATGCAGACTGGAGCAGGGATCAAACCACCAACCTTGCAATCCTCTACCTCCAGTGCCACCTCATATAAGGCAAGTTAAATTAAATATAAACATATAGAACCAAATAAAACTAACAAAACTTTTTAAAGATTCAATGGAAAATAATTGAATAAATAATTCCAGTGTATAACTGAAGTTAATCAGGAATCAAGTAGTGAACTTGAAGGAATTAATTCAGCAGAATTAAAAGTAAAACTCTTCTCATTATGAAAACTGAAGTTGTTGTTGTTTTTTCACAAAAATAACTATTTGTGCCAGCAACATCCACATGAGTATTTAGTTGCATAAACTAACATAACTGTGTCAGAAAACAAGCAAAAAGGGAAGCTGTGTACTGTCTGCCTGCATGCTGAACAAGGGACAAGCAAACACTGTGTGCTTGGTGAGCGTCCAAATGACAACAGGCTTCAACCACAGTCTTCAACATGTTATCCGAAACAACTTGTTTCTTGTTCCCATTAAATATACACAGCATGTGTAACCAGTAGAGATGGCACGATACCACTTTTTTATATCCGATACGGATATCATAAATTTGGATATCTGCCGATACCGATATGAATCCGATATAGTGTGTTTTTTAATCAATAAAACTGTTTATTTTTAATATCTTGCTGCATTTTGTATAAGTTCATACTCAAGTTTAAATAAACAACAACACTAAAGCTATTCTGTTATACCTGTATGTAAAAAATACACTGCACCCAAAATATTTCATAGTTCAGCAAAACTGAGCAATCTAATAAACTTAAACCTACTCCATCCTTCCTATTCTGGTATTTTAAAGAGTACTTAGCAGAAATATTAAGCAACCTAACTAATAGGGTTGTAAACTCCCAGCAAAAAAAA